CATGATGTAAGATCCTTTTGATGATTTCACTCATTCTATTTGGCAGTATCTTATTAAGAAATTTGCATCTATGTTCATTAAGAAGATTGGCCTGTAGTTTTCTTTTTTGGTTGGCTCTCTGGTGTTAGGATCAAATGATGCTGGGTTCCACAAATTAGTTTGGAAGCACTCTGTCCCTTTCAATTTTGTTGAAGAGTTTGAGGTATTGGTATTATAACATCTTTAAAGTTCTTGTAGAATTCAACAACATATCCATCCATGGGTCCTGGGCTTTTCTTAATTGGTACTGCCTCAATTTTGTTGCTTGTTATTAGATTGTTCAGAATTTTTATGTCTTCTTGATTTAGTTTTTGTAATTTGTCTGAGTCTAAGAATCTATCCACTTCTTCAAAATTTTTCAGTTTGTTGGAGTACAATTTTTTATAGTAGCCACTATCTTCTGAATTTTGATGGTGTCCATTGTGATTTTACCTTTTCCATTCTAATTGCATTAATATGAGTCTCTTTTCTCTTTCTTTTGGTAAGTTTGGCAATTCTGTTAATTCTTTCGAAGAACCAGCTCTTTAATTCATTGCTTCTTTGTAATTCTTTTTAGTCTCAGCTTCATTAATTTCCACTCTGATCTTTATGGTTTCCCTCCTTAAATTTGGTTTGGTTTTGGATTATTGTTGCTTTTTGAGTATCCTGAGGTTCACCATTAGGTTATTTCTTTGAGCACAGTTTTTCTAATGAAAGCATTGACTGCATTAAGATTCCCTTTAGGACTGCTTTTATTGTGCCCCATGGGTTCTGGTGTGCTGTGCTGGCATTGTCATTTGCTTCCAGAAAGGAATGCCATTTATAGTGCTCCTGGTAATTAAATAAAAGCACATAGCCAAAGTGGGTTAACTGAGGAAGGAAGAAGAGAAATCCTCTTGGAAAACCACCCACTTAACTTTTAAATCTTAGTTCAAGTCTCATGTCTTCCATGCAGCACTCTCTGCTCTCATTGAACCCAGGGCTTCCCACTAAACTACCACTCCATCCCCAGTACCCCCTCAAAATTTTTAAATTTTGAGAAATGATCTCAATAAATTGCCCAGGTTGGGCTCAAAATCTCAATCCTCCTGCTTCAGCATTCCAGAGTGCTGAGATTATAGGTGTTCACCACCAAACCCAGTTTACATTAACATTTCTTAAATTTGTTCAACTGTAATCCCAGCACTCTGAGAGGCTGAGTTAGGGGGAATCACAAATTTGACCCCAACCTGGGCAATTTAGTGCCTTAGTGAGATCCTGTCTCAAAATTTAAAAAATGAAAAAAGAGCCAAGGATATAGCTCAGGTGAAGGCCTTAGGTTCAATTCCAAGGACCACCACCACCAAAAAAAGAAAAATTATGTTACTTAATAATAAGATATTTCTATCTCCTCAGTGAACTAAATTTTCAGAGAAAGTTTTCTGTGTTGTATTCTCAGCACTAAATGAAGTATCAAGTTCACGAAACATATTAAACTTCTATCGAGTGAACAAAACAAAGATGGAACCAGAACCCACTATGGCAAATAAAGCCTGACCTGAGAATCAAAAACTAATTGTTAATGGAAAATTTTTAGAAAGTGAAATTCATAATCCTCAAGAATGCTCATAAAGGCATGCATAGTACATATATACACATACATACAAACAGGATTTTTTTTAGTCAAAAGTAGAACTCCACTAAACAGAATCCACTAAAATTCCAAATTTGTGTTTGCTGTTGTCTGTTACTTTTTGTGAAATGTATTTTACTTTTTGTGATTAGGAAAAGAAGAGATGTGTTCTATGGCTTCTAACTATAGAAGATTAACCAAAGTCAGATTAACCAACTTTTAACTGATTAATCTGACACAACAGAGAGACCAGAAACAAGGCACCTGTACCACTAATACCTTTAGCTCTGAAATTTCTCTTTTGAAAAAGCAGATAATCTCCATACATGAAGGAAACCTAGTGCTCAGCTATAATTATGAATCCTACAATTTATGTATTGTTTTGAGTGGGAAGGCACTAAGGATTCCAGCATTCTGAAATAACTAAATTCATCTAGGTCTGAGACTCTCTGGGCTTTGACAATTGAAACACTGTGCTACTGTCTTGAAAGAGGTCAAGAGGGTATCCCCAGGTGTGCTGACTGGGAACTGTTTATTTCCAATTCAATTTGCTTTTGATTCAATTACCCAAGACTTGCTCAGAAGGTCCACATGGGCTCCTTTATTTGTCACTGCTAGACACACTGCTGGAGGGAGCACTGCCGCTCCATCTTCCTGGGTGTGTTAGTTGCAAATGAGCCATTTTAGGTTTGGGATTTGGCTTCTAAAAGTGCTCTCCAGGGTGCCAGATCCCATATCTGGCCTCTATTCCAGCTGCAAGTCCCTGCTAGGAATTATTCTTCTTGTATGTTTAACATACCTTTGATACCATGCATATACCACATATAAGAGTAGGTCACTAAAATACAAAAATGGGTATGGCTCAACATTTGCTTTAGACAAAAACTGACAGGCAATTCTCTTAGGTCCCAGCTAATTTTTATTATTATTATTATTTTTTGCACCGGGGATCAAACTCTGGTCCTTGCACTTGCGCAGCAGGCGGTAAAACCACTGAGCTAAATCCCCGGCCCCCCAGCTAATTTTTATTAAGCATTTGCTATGTGCTAGGAACTAGGCAAATCTCTTGACATGGAATAACAAATTATCCTTTCAAAAACCCTGGGAGACGGGAACTATTATTTTATACTTAATGCTCAAATGAGAGAAGAGAAAGTACATAACAACGAGGAAGAGGTGAAGGTAGGCAATGACAACAGTTGTCTCCAGTGCCCCCAACATGACTTCCTACAAAATGAAGCATTAGATGTTGAATATAGAATGGCAGTGTTGCAATAGAAATATTCACAGGAGTTAATTTGAGGAAAGTGTCAGGGATACTTCCAAAGGGAAGAGGCCAAACTTTTGACAATGAGGACTGGGACTTGGGGAGACCCAGAACTATCTACCAAAAGGTCAGAGGCGACTATGTAAGAAGGAGTGAAGAAGCTGCTTCCAGATTTGGCATTCTCCCATGGCATAGTGCAGTGATGGCAAACCTTTTAGAGGTTTCAGTGATACAACCTGCTGCTGCACGCGAGCCACAGGTTTGCCACCTTTGGCATAAAGACTCCAGGAACATTAGTAGAGGCAGCTCACGGAAGTGGGAAAGCAGAGACAGGAGTGGGCACACAACCAAAGATTCACAGGTAAAAATCGGAGGTAATGAGTTTCCGGGGCCTATTGAATTTTGGAATTAGGTCTTCATTATTAATCACAAACGCTGTTATGTTCTCTATGCCAGGCAAAGATAACCCACACGATCTTATGGAATCCTTGCAACCACTCCTGAAGTATGTGTTATTTTTAAGAGCTGCCGGGTGGCTAAGGGCAAAATCTAAACCACAGGGAGAACGTAGTCTGAATTTGGGATAAATTTGGGATGAAAAGCGATTGAGCCCTTACTACAGGCCGGCCTGGGTGCCAGGCACTTCAGCACTGCTTTCTAAAGCCACCCAAACAATACTCTAAAATAATGTGTTGTTATTTACCTTTAAAGAAGAAACCCAGATGTGGAGGCTCAAGGTGACCACTGCCACATCAATAAATCCCCTGGCCTCTCAGAAGTGCAAGAAACACCGAGTTTACAGCACTTGGCCAGGCGCTGAGAACATGTGAACTAAAACTTCAGTTAAAACGCTAGCTTCATGATTAACTGTGTGGTGTTCCAGGCCCTGTACCCGGAAGTCAGGCTCCCAGAGTCGGACCTCAGCTCCACCACCTGCTGTGTACCCTTTGGCCTCAGTTCTCCAGTCTGTAAAGTGGGCTTTGTTATGAATAAAATGAAGAACAAGTAGTGCCTAAAGGCATGGTCTGTGTCAGGTAAAAGGTTGGCTTAATCTCCATTTTACCTCCAGAAAAGGGAGAATTAGCAAAGATACCAGAACTAGCAACTCCAAGTGGCCGCTCCCACTCCGCGACCTTCCAGAGGCTCGGGTTGCTCCGCAGCACGCCATCCTGCAGGGTAGCCTCCGAAGGGGTGTAGGGGTGCGGGCGGCCGGCGGGGAGTTAGCCTGCATATTTATTTGTTTGTAATAGGGATGGGCTCTCGATTGTTTTGTCACCTCCGAAGATGAAGACGCGAATACAGAGGGACCACCACGGGCTAAACTCGCAGGATGACAGGTAGTTATGACGGTAGGGAGGCACAGGCGCAGGGACTGGCAGTCCAGGTGACAAAGGCCGGGAAGGAGCCCGGCACTGTGCTCACTTCGTGGTTTTGTTTGGAATCCGAAGGGGGTGGGGAAGAAACTATTCTATTTTCTTCTACCTTCTTGCTAGCCAATATGTAGCTACAGTTCTTGGAGAGATTTAAAAAAAAAAAAAAAAGTCCCTCCTACTCTTCCTTCCCCATGCTCTCCTTACCCTCCTGCCGCCGCCACCCCCACAGCCTTCCTCTCCCTCCCCCTGCTGGTTCGGGCTTACTTCGCTCCCGGCTGTGCTCCCGGCTGCAGCCAAGTCCCGGCTGCCTGCGAGGCGAGGGGACGCGGTCGGCGGCAGGCCGGGCGGCGCGGCTGGAGGACGGGTCCGGCGGGCTGTCTGTCTGTCCTGCCCCTCACACTCACGCAGGCGCGTGCGCCGCACACCCACACGCAGCACTCGCACCGGCCGCGCCGCCTCCTCCGGTCCGGGGGAAGGCGGACTAGCGAGCACCTCCGGCCCGCGGCGCACCGGGCTGCAGCCCGCGCCTGGCGCAGCTTCGGCCGTGTTTGCCCCGCAGATATAGTGGGGAGAGCGTGGACGCGGCTGCCGGAGCGCCTGCACGCCGCGACCCGCAGCGGCCCTCGGCGTCGTCCCGAGGAACCCACCTGCCGCGCGTCCGCCGCCCGCCCTCCCACGGGGTGCAGCGGGACCCCGGGCTCCGCCGCCGGCCCCTCGCGCTCAGCGTCCGGCGCTGCCCGAGCTCGGAGCTCGCCATGGCGGGGGCGCGAGGGCTGCTCGGGCTGTGGCTCGGCTGCTTCTGCGTGAGCCTGGCGCGGGGCGAAACCCCGGAGCGGCGCCTCCCAGAGCTCCACGGAGCCGCACCCGCAGAGCGCCCGGCAGGTGGTGGCGCGAGCCCAGAGCTGCCGCCGCACGACCAGGTGTCTGAGCACATGCTGCGGCTCTATGACAGGTACCGCGGCGGCGGCGGGGTCTCCGCGCCGAGGACGCCCGGCTCCCGAGAGCGGGGCTCGCGGCCCCGGCGCCCCCAGCACGCGCGCAAAGGCAACACGGTCCGCAGCTTCCGGGCGGGAGCAGCAGGTGAGTTCGCGAGGTGACACCCGTCCCTCCGCGTGCGGCCGCTTTCCCCCAGGACGCCCCAGCCCCCCACCCCACCCCGTCCTCCTCGTCAGTCCTCAGAGCCGCGGTGTTGCCCGAGGACCTTCCCGGTCCCCTCGCCTGTCCCGCCACACCCCGCAGTGCAGTTCACTAGCTGCGATTCGGGCGAGCCCAGTTTTAGAGTCGCCTGAGAGAGGGAGAAGTGAAGAGAAGAAAGCAAAGCAGGCCCCAGGGTGGCTGGAGAAGGGAGGGGGCGACACCCGTGCCCAGTGGACTCCTGCCCTGCCGGGTCTGCGGCACTTCGACTGGACCTTAGGCGCCTGATTCCTAAGTCGGCCGCGGAAGTTCCCTTGGACTGGGCTTTACTGTGCTCACCCAGAAGCAGATGCCGTTTGATGCTACCCCCAGGGCCCCAGAAAGAAAAGTACGCTTGAACTAACCACCCGTCCCCGCGCGCGCGCCTTGTAGGTAGTCGCTTCTCCAGATCTTGCACCCCGCCCTCCACGTAGCTATATTTGACACTTTCTGCTTGCGAGTCCCTCGGTGGCAAACGCCCAAATGAAACCAGGTAGGTGGGTGTTTAGATTATTTAAAAGCGATCTGGGCAAATAGGGATCATATCATCCACCCGGAGAGGAGTTGAGGGTTGGGAGGAGTAGCCTTGGATCATAAACACTTCTAGGGATCTGCCTGACGAAAATCTATCTGCTCGTCCCATTTTTCAACACAGATCACTGAGGCTGAAATTCGTGGTTTAACAAGGTTTCTCCGAGCCGCAGTGGTGAAGCGAATAATTAATGCTAACAGCCTCCCTCCCTTGTGCTAACAGCTTGAGGGAAAGTTTCCTGGACACTGACTCTGTTTATGTGCTTTGAGGATGCACTGGGCTTTTCTTTCACAACCTTCATGATAAAGGGCAATGTGACTTCCAAGCCTGTCGTCAGTGCCTGTTGAGAAATAGCCAAGAATCTTCAGGAACGGAGGGTGCTTCAGTGCTCTGTCAATTGTGTCAGAATCACTGAGAAGAAATTTCCCCAAACTTTGCTATGTAGGACTCCTGGAAAAAAGGAAAACTAAAACATCCATCAAGGGAAGAAAGCCCGAGGTTGACACTGTAAATATGCTCTAGAGCTCATAAGCATGATGACATTTACAATAAATGTGAATTATACTTTCTAGTGCAGAAATCTATACCTAGAGTCTGAGCTGAACCAGATTCCACTTTCTTTTTAGACCCAGGAACCTGACTTGGGAGGTGGTCTGCACTAAGGAAAGGAAACCTGCCCTGTCTAATGCGCAGCATCTCAGCCTTTGACAGCCACCCAGCCACACCAGTGAATGTCTGTGTACTTAGGGGCATCTCTGAGGGACAGAGTTCAGGGAAGGAGCGGTGTGGTAGGCAAGGCAGGTGGCGGTAATGCAGGTGGATAGATCACTCCTGCCTTGATTATCACCTTCTTGGTTGTGATCCTAGGGAATAGCTGAGACACCCAAGAGATAAACAGTACATTTTTGTACGACCAAAGCTTTGTTTTGACTATGAATCACCACGATTGGACATGGAAATAGAGTTTCTTTTATTCACACACATTGTAGAGTTTTTTGTTATAGGCTGAGGACCAAGGATCAGGATTTGAATAACTCAGGCACCATATACTTTGTGTTCTCAACCCCTTCTGTGCATTATAATTTCTGGGTCCCTTATCAGCCTCACTGTCATCTTATATCATCAAATGATAAACTCTGATACAGAGTCCAGACCTTCACTTAAAATGATGAATTGCAGCTTGAAGCATATACACAAGGCTGTGTGCCCTGATAAGAAAAGTAATCCCTTTAGCATCCTAGAGCTGGTCTTAATGACTTATTCATCAAATGTAGACATTAGTTTTTGTGGAAGCTTAAGTGTCATGTTACCTCATTGGAGACTCCCGGAGAGGTGGTTCATGTTGGAGCCCTTCCAACAGTGTTTAGTTACCAGCACACTGAAAAGACTTTATTATAAGGCAGTTCTGGCTGGAATAAGGCAGGACTCCAGGAAGGTGCTAAGGTTTTCATGTGAGTGCCCCTCTTACTTCATCCATATTGGCATTTCCATAATGCCCCTTCACTTTGTGACCTATGTTCTGGTGTAGGTGAAAGATGCTGTCTGCATTAATACATTAGATATGTTTTCCAGTTGCAGCTGTTTAAGTTTCACAAGGCATGGGACTTCTCTGTACCAAAAACGTTACAGATTTGAATGACAGATCAGATGGTATACTGTATATATGGAGTGGCTGCTAACCCAGCAGACTTCCCGAGTACTTATTCATGCTGAGTTATAGCCTTCTATAGAGACCTATTTGCTCTTTGGAACATACCTGATTAAAATTATTTATTGTTCTAAACCTAGAATATCTTTGGTTGAAATTTAGCTGCTGTGGTCTCCCTCTGATTACTTTCTACTTAAACCATTACTTGATGGTGGGTGGCATCCATCCTAAATACACTTTCTGCTAACCCCTTTTCTCCTCCCTCAACTCAAGGCAGCTGGTGTGCCAAAACCGTAAGTTTGGAGCCCTTATAAGCTTTTCTTGTGATTCATAAGAATTTACATAAAGATGGAATTACTGACAGCAGCAAAGTTCAGCCTGATTAAAACACGTCTTCTTGAGAGAAGACAGAAGGACGTCCAATTTGCTTTTATTTTAATCTTGATTTAAGTTTGTCCTTTGCTACTGTGGGGTAAAAGGATGTTTCATATGGAGGTTTTCTTCTGTCTTGATCCTTCAAGGTGGATACTATATGTTCAGTGCTTTCTCATTATTCTTATAGTCACTTAATCTTATTTTTCTTAATCATCAATTAATTTCTTCAGAAAAGAAATTAAAATACATATGTTCTTACCAGAAAACCATCACTATGTTGTATGACTACAAAAAGATTACATTTTAGTGGGTGTGTGTCACCCTTTTAAAAAGCACACATATTTCATGAATAAAAGAGAATGATATTAAGTTAATACAGACCCACAAATGAACATTTTCCTTCAGTGAAGGAGAGATTTTTCATACTAGGAACAAAAACATTAAAATCAAAACCCAATGATTTTGACGTTTCTAAAGTGCAACTCAAAAATATAAGGCTTTGAGACATAGGGTGTGTTCAGGGGCTGTATGATCGTCACTCCAATAGGGACTGTTCTTGAACAACATGGGGGCCAGTGGGAAAGCATGGTTTTGATGGGCTTGATGGGTGAGACTGTACTGACTTTATTAAAACATAGGTACCTTGAAAGGTCTGGCAGTTGAAACTAAAGAAGAGCACTTGGATTTTCTGATGTTTTTATTTAAAGGACAATTGTACATCTGGAGAAGAGGAGCTGGATGTGCAGCTGCTTTGAATTACACACTGCCTTGAATGCATGATAGCCTTTAATGAAGTTTTTACTGTAATAGGCAAGACAGCTTTACAATCTCTGACATTTAAAAATCCATAATACCAGGAATTCTTGATTATCCATGGTAAATGAAAAGGAGAAAGAATTAATTACATAAAAATAATACAAATTTAGTTTTATAGTGTAGTTAGGCATACTCAAAGAGATGAAGTGACTATGGAGGTCAGTGAAAAAGAACCTTAGGCAGATAATAAATTCAAGCAGATAATGCACTCTTATTTGTACATTAAGAAATAGAAAATGTGAGGCAGGCATGGTGGCACATGCCTGTAATCCCGGTATTTTAGAGGCTGATGCAAGAGGATTGCAACAAATTCAAGGCCAGCCTGGGCTACATAGTGAGTTCAAAGCCAGTCTGAAGTACAGAGCAAGACCGGTCTCAAACAACAACAACAAAAATAGAAAATGTGGTATTTATACACAATGGAGTACTACTCTGCCATAAAGAAAGATAAGCTGAATATTTATAGGAAAATAGATGCACCTTGAGACCATATGTTAAGTGAAATAAATCAGACACACAAGCTTACATATTGCTTATTTTTCTTGTATGAGAAACCCTATATATATATATATATATATGGAGAGAGAGGAAAGTGGAGGATGAATGGTGGGAAGTAGGGATATAGATGTTTCTGAAGTGGGAAGGGGATCCGGAGATGGAAGGAGGGGAGGGAGAGGGGAATGAAAATAGGAATGGATACATGTTAGGTACATGTACCAACCCCCCAAGTAATGTAAACATTATGTACTGCAAATGTGTACTAATAAAAAACTTGGGGGCGGGGATTTAGCTCAGTGGTTCCTCCACCTGCCTCGCACAAGGTCTCGAGTTCGATCCCCAGTACCAAAAAAAAATTTTTTTAATTAAAGTTGCAAATGATCAAACAGTGAAAAATATGCATAATGAAGATATTCAGACAGTACATATATTTTACCCCAGCAGTGGGATTTCATTTGACTGAATGGGTACTTAAAATTAAATAAGGTCATGAATATCAAATCTCCTTTCATGTATTTTTGTATTATAGACTTTTGTATTTGGAAGAAGCATTGAAAAAAACAAGTCTGTCCTTTTTCTTCAGTGGAAGCAGAAATGGGCACTATGTTTGCTGGATAATTTTTCAAACATACAGAGCTCATCTTCAAACCTGTTATATCTAGTGGCCTGATCTAATTTTCTAGTGATAATTTCACAAAAAAAGAGATCTCTGGAAGATGTTAAAGCTGTTAAATAAAGTTAGGTTTCATGGTCAAATAAGTTTTGGGAAACTGATAAGCCTTCTTTGCTGTGGTAACTTTCAGGACCTTCAAATATTAATGAGTCCCCTTAAAAAGGCCACACTTTCACCTGGAGAGAGCACTTTAGAGAATTGTGGTTTTAAGATGTCTAGTTGGGAAAACACTAGTTTGGTACCTTACTAATTTAGTGAGAAAAAAGGGAAAATGCAGTGGTTACCATAATTGACTACTGACAGTTCTCATTTCCACTCATCCCATGTTCATTTTTATTATTCCTTATTTGTACTTGAGTCCAGTT